TTCATTGATTGCTTATTTTTTTTGTTTTTATTATTGTCTCTAAATTGCTATAACATCTTCGGAAATATAGACGTCTAGTTCCAAATCTGTGTAAGTTAGAGAGTCCAGTTTATCCTGCTGTTCAACCCATAACTGAAATTAACTGAGAAGCAAAAATGAAATCTTGCCTTTCCCCAGACTATGCGGAAATTTGAACTCTACTTGCCAATTTTACTTTTCGACTTTTTGAACATCTATTAAGCTATCATACGGAATCCAATTTTTGGCTTTAAAATTCTATCTGAAAAAATAAAAAAATCTCGATTTTCCCGATGTCATCAGTTCTCAACTCGGTATCTATGATGATGACATAACTCTTTACTTCTGTCTTAATGCTAAATCTTCAAATCTATTTAATAAGGTCATATTGGCAGCTGATCTAAAGAAAAAGACCTACACTCTATTGTTTACTCGGGCAAGAAATGGCTTGTTAATTTTAACGCCTCCAAAATAAAACGGTTTTCTTTTATTCGTCTTACACAATCTACTTTGCCTTCCACCAGCAGGAGAGTGATTTATTGCGCCCTCTCTGGCGAATAATTTCCGCTAACATGAAATGGAAAAATTATATTGAATCAACTGCTAAATCTGCTGCTAGGAAAGTTGATTCATTGCATCATGCTAGACATTTTTCTCGTCAGAATCTATCTTACACATTTATAAGTTTACCATTTGCCTATGCATTGAATATCGCTTCCACATCTGGTCTGGTGCTTCTATATATTTAAAGATTATTGATAAAATCCAAAGAAGAATTTGCATTTTTATCGGTCCTGACCTGACATTTCGGCTTTAGTCCTTTCCCACCGCCATAACATGGCTTCTCTGTGACTTTTCTATAAATACTTTGATGGTAACTGTTCTGGTAAACTTTGCCTCTTTTCGAAAATTGTAATCGTTGTAAATATTTATCGGAGTTTCATTTTTAAAAGTTGTTATTTTTATTCCCCACCGCCACAGACAAATTGTACATATGGAAACTAATTAGGAATTCATACAGATTTTGAAATATTATGGTGGCTGTAGTAGAATGTTAAGTAAGAAGGTGTTGTTTTGATGTAAGGACTACTGCCGTATGTTTGGGTCAGTAATTGCGGCAAGGTAAGTTTAAGACAAGACAGACTGAAGATCAGCCTTCCTTCCTTTTTGGCCTTGTGCCACATTTTTGTATTTTCTAAATAAATATTACTTTCCTCTTTTCTATCTGGACTTCACGAATTTAAGTGCAGTACTAAATTGGCAGTTAGGTTTCATCATTTTAGAGTTGAAATGACTAGATGCAACCGTAAGTTCTAAGTTAACAGTTTCTTCTCTCGCAATTCTCGCTTGTGGAACTCACTTCTAGCTTGTTGCTTTCCAGTCAACTTTGATTTTAAAAAAATTAAATGCAATGTCAATCAATATCTTTTGTCCGCTTTGTAAAATAACCACAACTTCAATGATAGTACTAACTCTGAATAACTTCATTCTCGTACCAACGTGATACAAATACAAAAATACACTTGGCCCCTCAGCTGTTTATATAACACTAGAGGAGGTAACTTGTGTCCCCCAGTGTCTTCCTGAGGAAATCCCCCATTATCTAATGAGATCTTACATTTCTTCCCTACACTCTTAATTCCTGTTCTTTTGTTGCTCTCTCTCTCTTATATGTCTGTTTCCGTTTCCATTCTACCTCCACCCATCAAACCAAATATCCTAAGAAACAAAAAAAAGCAAAAAAAAAAAAGCAAAAAAAAAAAAAAACCTACCAAACTCCGTCCGCAACATACTAGTAGAAAATACAAATATAATAATCTCATCCACATGGCAAAAAGATTTAAAATAATGGAAGCACTAAAAATAAAAAAAGGAAAAACCAACATTCAATAATATTAACTATGAACACGGCCACAATATGCTGACCGTGTTTGGAAAATAAAACTTTCCTATAATTTTAAACACATACATAAAAAAGCAAATATTCAGTTAAAAAATAAAAAATCGTACTTGATAATGGCTAAAAAAAAATGGCCGAAAACGCTCGGATATGTGGAACTTTTAAACATTTTTACACATTTTTGTCCCGAAAAGAAGACACTTTTACGAGCACAAGAAAAATGAAATCGCAGTACCTTGTCAGTCGTCTTTAACGAAACCTGTATAAAAGAGGGTTTGCTGCCCAAATACACAATATATATATATATATATATATATATATATATATATATATATATATAGTATTCTTCGTTCTCAAGAGAAGAGTCTGTTAGTAAGGGGCTTAAGAAATCTCTTAAATGCGCCCACTTAAATAATTACTGTCCCTCTATGATCTCGAGATTATGATATTTGCTCCTATTAAAATTCCTTGCAGATATTTAGCTTTTAATTTAAACCTTAATTTCCTATTGGAATATTATTTGACAAACGAAGTATTAGCGATTATCTCTACAAGCATTTAGATAAAAATTGGCGCAAATAATAAGCAGATTATTGAATTAGCTTACTTTGAACTACATCTACCTATATAAAAGTTTCTGTACCCACCCCTTCAACCACACGAAAGAGAAAAAATGAAATCCGTTGACGGGAGGATAACTTTTTACGACAGTCGTTTTACTGTTTTACTGAACTAGCTAGATGTAATCACGACATCTACTCTGTTTTTTGGCTTGAGGGTTCCGAATTCTTGCTTCTATGATAACTACAATCTTCAAAAATGTCAATCGTCATCTTCCGTTTTCTTGAACCCTGTTCCTTTTGGTCCTTTCCGCAATCTCCTCCATTTTCAGCCTTCACATTCTCTTTCACTTCCTGTAACCTCCTGTGTTCCGGTGGCATTACTTGCGAATAAAGTGCTAAATATTAAATTGGTTGCTTGATATGGTTTAACATCAACCTCTATGGATTATTTATTGCTGAAATATAAATGTTTTGAACGTAATCTTATGCCTTCTACTACATAGAAAATGTATTGTTGTTAATTTTACTATAAAAATGCATTGTTGTTAAATTTTTTTATATAGAAATGTTTAGTTGATATTTTTACTAAAAAAATGTATTTTGACACCTTCACTGTTTTTGTTTGGGGGGGTTACTATTTGCCTATCGCTAGGACACTAAGAGGTGCTATAACCCCGGATTGGGGTGGACCTGGGAACAACAGTAATTAAGAGATGGTTCCACGCTTCTCAAAACTTCCAATTTTCCGATCAGAAGCCTTGATGCTGGATGTAGTTTATCGTCATACCCAGGATACGCTCAATATTAAGAAATTGAATAAGCTTAGTGTAAGTGTAAGCGTTCTCAAAGCAAATTTGTCGCAGATTACTTTCACAATACAAAGAAAAATCACTAAGTCCAGACTCGAGTAATGGGGGCAGAAAGAAATGCTGAAAACTCGATTCGTCGGTACTATCTTAAATCACAATGCGTGTAACCAGTCAGGAAAATAACTCACACTCCAACAAACGCCGTAGCCAAAAATGCCCGAATTTTCCTTCCGAGGTACCTGATTATCTCTTTCACTACACTTAATTTTGTTTGATACAAGGTTCAGAGTTTTATGCACCTAGTGCGGATCGAATGTGTGATTAGTTTGTAGATCCAATTTCAATAACAACTGCACTTCGGCTAAAAATCCTAACGTAATGAGAAATTCCTGTACCATGCCCTGGTTGGTGTTATAGACTTTTGTCTTTACTAAAGTGACTTAATTTGGGTTACACAGTGGCAGATGGAAATTGGTCTTTTTTTTTTTTTTGGCTATTTTATTAAATACAAAGGCTCCCTGCTGGTATAATTTCATCTCATTTCCGTGTCGCCAATTTTGAAGGCAGCTTTTCTTTTGTTCTGTTAGTTTTGTTCAAGTCTTTGTTTCTAAACAAAACGACCAGAAATGAAGTCAAGCGTTACTGACAGAATAGAAATATTAGATGTATAATGTTAATAAAATATAAATTATATAAAATTTATTGCTAATGATTGTACTAAATGTATTGAGAATCAGGAAGAAAGGTATTGTTCGTGGTCAGGAATTAGGGTAAGTCGCTAATAATTTATTACAAAGGTGTACTGAAAATTGAGAAGAAAAAAAAAAAGGATTGTGACGGATGAATTTAGGCATTACTGACAAAATAAAGCTATTCCATATTGTTGCAGGAATCAATGCATATTTAATAGCTACATTTGTCCCGCAAACAATATTGGCGGACTCATAAGAGTCCGGGCAAAAATAATAAATAAAAACATGGAATTTAAACAAACAAGTATTAATAAATCTATTAAGCGGACACGCTACAAAGAGAAAAAAAGAGAAATGATGTTAAAATTGTGAAGAGATCAAAGCAACCTTCAGTATGTGCCTCTGAGGTACTTACAAGCCGACAGTGCGCGAAGAGAACGGCTTGTCGCCACCAAAGTCAAAAAGAAAAGAAAGAGAGACTTTTAAATCGTGCACTGCCTGTGATTATTATGAACGCGGTGGCAGGGATAATGCATCATAGTATAATGTAAATGCATTGTTAATGATCGCATTATAGAAATATACTGAAATGTTTGTTTTTTTATTATTATTATTATTTAGCGCCAAGCAAGGCGATAAAGCCACTAAGATGCCAAGGGTTACTGGGAGTGAAAAAGAATTAGAAAACTTTAGGAAAATGAACCGGAAACCTCATCCTAAACATGATAAACCTCTACTCCTGTTCAAAAGACGGGGAAGGTATGTGAACTGGACGACAGGCGAACCTATCAACTCCTATCAAAAAGTGAGAGATTAAATTAAAAAAATAAGAAGAATGGGATTGTTTGTGGTCAGAAATTAAGGTATGTATTACTGACTGAATAACTGATATTATTTGTATAATATAAAGGACTCGCTAATGATTTACTAGAAAAATGTCCTGAAAATCGGGAAGAAAACCATTGTCGGAAATTAATGCAAGCATTATTGGCAAAAAGCTATTTTACGCATAATGACTTACAGCCATATCACGTTGAAACACCAGTTCTTGTGTGATCACCGAAGTTAAGCAACGTCGAGCCTGGTCAGTAACTAGATGGTTGATCGCTTGGGAATATTGCCGTAAGTTTTGGATGTGCGGGTAAATACTCTTGGGGAAGGCATGAACCCATCTCTTTTCCGCCCAGCTATGGGTTAATTAGTAGGACTTCTATCAGTAAATCATTATTTCCAAAAAATTCTTACACTCTAAAAATATTTCCTGGCTTTAAATAACCTACAAAAGGTTGATAAGCCGTAAAAAAAAAAACAAAAAAAAACAAGCCAATCAATCAAACCTAGTTTTATCTGTGCCATAAAAATGATGTCAATATTATATAAAGCTCAGAATTGGAAATCAGAGAGCAGAGTTCCAATTCCAGTCGGGTTCGTTATATTCACTTACGCATATATGAACGGTAGCTAGGGCACCTCGGTGTTGTGTAATGGTTAGCAAGCTTGCCTGGCTAGAACAATTACGACTGAGTAGTGAGTTCGATCGTCACTGGATGCTCCATACTTTCGGCATGTGCCACATCTAAGTAGCGCTTAGAAAATCACTATATGGACGGTAGCGTGATGTCTAATTGATCGCTATTTCTAGTCTATCCTCTATACTATTCGGATCACTCTTTCTAGTCTATCCTCTATACTATTCGGATCACTCTTTCTAGTCTATCCTCTATACTATTCGGATCACTCTTTCTAGTCTATCCTCTATACTATTCGGATCACTCTTTCTAGTCTATCCTCTATACTATTCGGATCACTCTTTCTAGTCTATCCTCTATACTATTCGGATCACTCTTTCTAGTCTATCCTCTATACTATTCGGATCACTCTTTCTAGTCTATCCTCTATTACTATACGGATCACTCTTTCTAGTCTATCCTCTATTACTATACGGATCACTCTTTCTAGTCTATCCTCTATTACTATACGGACCGCTATTCTGTACTCTATTCACTTTACTATTTCTTTATTCAGATCACTATATGGGTTACTTGTCGAGCGAGTATTATCAAGCAAGTACTATTAGTGCGAGTGATATTCGAAGGCGTCTGACACCAGTATTGTTCGACGACGTTACTATAGTTGTATCTGCGATTACAAAGTCTCTACTACGACGATCATAACGAAAGTGACAACGAGTATTCGTTGGGATTACAAAACGAATCAACCCTGACTGTATAATAGAAATATCGAGAAAATCAGAAGGAAAAGGGATTATCATTAATCAGGAATTATGGTAAGTATTACCGACAGAATATAGATATTAAAATGTCCTGCGTAAATGCCCTGTTCATGATTGTGTTATAGACATGTAATAAGAGTCAAGAACGGAATAGTCGTCGATCGGGAATCAATTCAAGCATTACTAAGTGAATAGAAATGTTGAATGCAGAATATATATGTATCGTTAATGACTTTACACTGGAAACCAAGGCTTGAAGTAATTGAAAAGGCAGTGGCCAGAAATCAAGGCAAGCATAACATGTGATTCTACAGAAACATGCTGAGGATTGCATGGACCGAACATGTGAACAACGATGAAGCTTTAGAGTAAATGGAAACAAAAACAAAAAAAAAAACAAAAAAAACAAAAAAAAAAAAAAAAAAAAACAAAAAAAACAAAACAAAACAAAACAAAAAAAAACACTTATATTTAGAGATGATTTAAATTTAAAGTGATGAAAGTGGGTTTGAAAATTTTGATACTCACAGGACAGATTGAAGGCAAAAAGGCCAGAGGGAAATAATGCATAACCTGTCTAGCGAAGTTGAATAAATGTATGGCGGAGTAAGAAACTAGATGTTCTATACTTTGTGATTTCTCGCATTGGCAGTTGGGATCAACAGCGATATCATATTCCCCATTTCTGAAGCTTGGCTCTACAGCTGTTCAGAGGCGATCTAAACAGGTCCGGAAAGGGCAATGGGGGATTTTGAAGAGTTAGAGATAGAGAGAAAATTTTATATATATATATATATATATATATATATATATATATATATATATATATAGAGAGAGAGAGAGAGAGAGAGAGAGAGAGAGAGAGAGAGAGAGATAGAGATAGAGGGGTGAGATCGAGGGAGTGAGAGAGATAGAGGGTGAGATCGAGGGGGTGAGAGAGATAGAGGGTGAGATCGAGGGAGTGAGAGTGAGAGAGAGATAGAGAGAAAGAGACAGAGAGAAAGATATATATATATATATATATATATATATATATAGTAAGAGAGAGAGAGAGAGAGAGTGTTCCACATTGTTAAGGTGGCTGCACTACAGGGACAGACGCTCACTGGGAGCATTGTTTTTTCAGTGTTTCAGCTGAGTGTAAAAAGCTGCGTCTTGACTTGAACCTCTGACATTGGTTCACAGACGTGATATGGATGACAAGTGCCGATTGCCTGCTTCAACTTCTCGAGTTGGGAGTGAATTGTCTTTATGTAAGGGGATCAATGCCACTAAACAAATAGAAGTCATCTACTTAGGTTGGTTTGAGCCACCCAGTGATCGATCTGCAAGCGGTGCTTAAGGCATGATCGATTTTCTTTGCGTGTGATCATCTGCTCCACGCTAGTGAGGCATATTCTGCTGTGGAGTAGCAAAGGGCTGGAGCTCTGGTTCGGATTTATCGGCATGGGCACAGTACATAGAAGTAGTAGATTATCTCCCACCAGTTACCTTTGGAAAGTCAATCGTCTCGGCATTCGATCTAACCTTAGCTTAGTAATGCCATATACTCTATTAGCAATGAAATGAAATGAGTTTGGAAACTATAAAGATATACCCTGATAATTATTAAGCAGAAAGTACAAGGCATTTTTACAAGAGTCAGATTAGACCAGAAAATGGAGTGCTGCTGTTATATCTGGACTGGAGTTGCCCAATTCCACTTTCCAACGTTGATAGTTCAAAACCATCTATGAGGAATTATGGGTGATTATTTCCCACCCTACTACCCCTTTCCTACAGACGAAACGTCGTAACCTTCTCGTTACTCTATCTCCATGGCAAATATTCTAATGAGCTATATTCCTTAATTCCACTAGTTCTGTTGTATCCTTAAAGAGGTTACAAACAGACAAAGGTGGTACTCGAGTGAAAGAAGCAGCAACATATGCTTAGATGAAAGATAGAGAGGTTTATTGTAAAAGAGAATATACTACTTAAAGACAGGGAATCAGTTAAAAGGCTAGTAATTCCCGAAGCAAGGATATTTACCTTAGCGCCTGGCAGGATGTGGCACAAGGCCGTTTTTAATGTGGGGTAAAAACCGAGACCGTTGGCTCGGGCAAAAATTCCCCGTAGACCCCGTATACACATAGGCGATAGGGAGTGTGGGACATTCCATTACAACAAGTTCAGACCTTCACAGCTAAGACCCGATATTGCCATAAGGACGAATCATTCCCATTACCTTTGTATTCCATTAGTAAGGAGAAAGTTTCACTCAGACAGATTTCTTCGTGCGAAGACCTCCTGGGAGGAGGATTGCCTGATCGCTTCAATCTTAATATCTTCAAATCTATAGCCAACCATTAACTTTCCTATATATCCTCATAATCTACACTGCTTTCAATCTCCTCTTACATTCATACAACCACCTGATTCAGTAACACTCTATATTGAGTGACTCTTGGGTCTTGTATTGCGTGAACAATTATGGGTAAAAAGTTAACTATTCGGTAAAGATCGAAATCTTTTCAGTAGTAATAGTCTGCAATACCTGATTGTGAGCAGCATCCCACAACATGAAACGGGTGATGATTTTCTAGATTTGACACAAGATCGAAAGTATGGGGCACCCAGTGAGGTTCCAACTCACTACTCCGTCGTAAGTGTTCTAGCAAACCAAGATTGCTAACCATTACACCACCTCGAGGTGCCCAAAAGATTTTCTAAGCGTAGCTTAAATGTGGCACAAGGCAGAAAATATGGCGCTCCCCGTGAGGAGTGAGGTGAGCTAAATCGTGTGTCCGTGTGTGTGTGCGTGCGTGCGCGCGGTGTTGAAAATTTGGATATTATAATATAAGCCTTATTAGAAAAGTTTTAGAAAGACATGTTTCGGGGAAAAATGAAGTTATCTGATTTATCTTGAAAAGAATGTCAGTAATGATTTTGAAAAATAATTGTACAGTTTTGCTGAGCAACACGGATTGAGGGCAAGTGGATAAACTTAATCTGTTTAATTTCCATCAGTTTCAACAAAAAAAGGGGAGCTTCAACCCCACCCCCCGAGTGCCATGGTTGGATTGTAAAACATTTCTTTACGCACAAAAAAGTGGCTTTAATGCGACAAATATTTCAAATGCACAATTGCGAATTTGTCCTTGGTGTCACATTTTAAAACCACCCCTAATCCCCTAATCCAGAAGAAAGCGTTAAAGATAATCCTGGTGGATTTTTTGGCGGTCGAATAACGTAGTTTAAATGCCTCGGGAGAAAATGTGCTTTTCATTTTTTTTCTTCTCTTCTTTTTGCATTGAGGTGAAAGGTCAGATTTTAGGATATCAGCTAAGTGCCTTCCCTTAGGGAAAGAAAGAAACGAGCTATACAGAATAACGGCCATTTCTTTGTGAGAGGCGGAAGTTTGGGCGGGAAACCACACAAAATATAATCAGATATTTGTTAGATATTAAAAGTTTGATACAAATATGTGTTCAAAAGGTGGGAAGAGATAATCAGTGCTTTATGGCCTGCAACATGAAAACGCTAACAGCTCCACTAATGACGGATTCTCTCGAAATTAGGGTTAACAGATTATAGCAAGATATTCGACAAAGTTTGACATTTTTCGTTAAAAAAATGCTGTGTCAAAAAGACGGTTTTTCCTTTGATACCGCTATCATTTTATACTACTTTCACTTCCTTGGCAGTGTTCATTGTTATAAAAAGTAATGATTAGAATTTTAATAAAATTTAAACATATCAAAATGGATATCTCTCTATCTCAGAGATTAGGTATTATGATTACTTGCATTATTTACATTATTCGGACTTATCATCATCTTCATTGCCATATTCACAATGTTTCGGACGTTGTACGCTCCGACCTTCGTCAGGTGATTGGAATC